TAACGAAATTACTGCCTTACCGCCTGACGACAGATTATTTCAATTCGTACCAGAAAAATCCCTATCACGATCCACTATCCTCAGTAACGTATTTCCCAATCATGTAATCAGTACTTCGATGTCTACTTAAATGCTCATTTTTCATAACATATCAGTCGCCAGTATATTAGAATTAATTTTTCAGTTTTGTTTCTCTTTCGTCGTCAGTTATTCTCATTTACAGAAACTAATGGCCACGTCGTCATACTGCGAAAACACTTCTGTTACTGATATGACATGAATAATTGCCCATCACTGTTCATTTATAAGACCAACGTGAATAAAATTACTATCGTTCCAGTTTGATTCAAACAGTACTTCACCTCGGCAGTATCTAATGTGTTTCGTTTACTGTTGCAAAACGATATGTATTGTCTAGATCAATAAGAGTTTATTACGAGTATAGGCGATGAGAAATTGCAAATAAACCCAACGAATTATAAAACATCGAAGATTATTTATAAAGTCAAAGATTAATCTAAAATAACCAGAAATTTTACCAAGTTCACTTTTACTGTGGGGATATTATTACAATGAAAAAGACCACTCCTAAATACGAGTCGAATATACGTGAAAGCCAGAGAACAGCAATCGAATTTATGGCTTATACACAGTTTTAAGAAATAATCAAAATTAGTTTAATTAACCCAAATGAAGAGAAGACGCGACATGAAAGGCTTCTATTAGGAAATATATATGCCCGTATTCGTGGAAAGAATGAAAAGAATCCTTGAGTAAGTTAGTAGAAAATGTTTTATAAAAGGGTTAGACGAATTCAACGAGACAAGCGACACCTTTTCATCATTCGAAAATAACGGATGCACACGAAAAATAACACCATCTAGAAGTCTCTGATCGAAGAGAACGAATTAGAATGTTTTGTAAGAATTAGTTGATCCATAAATGTAGTCACTAGTTTGCTTTGAGCAATTATCAAAAATCTTTGTGGAGAATATTCTTGCGATCAGTTAAAATTATGTCGAAAATAAACAACAAATAGAAAGTCGGACTGACAAAAATTAAACCAAATTTAGTCAAAAATAAACTAAAAACCAATGATTAACAAGAATCAATACATAAAAATGATAATTTAACGCCTTGAAACTAATTTTAAAAAAATGAACTTTCTGTCATTAACTCAAAGTCGATAAAAATATTTTCACTTTTAATACAGAACAAAGTTTTCTTTCATTTCCCCTGTAAAAACCATTTACCAGATCAAATATGAAAAGAGAATCGATGTCATACAAATGAACACTTAAAGACATCTATGGCATCATGGAAGGCCGTCGAACGATTGAAATACGCCATTATCGATAGATGTTCACCTCCACTCTTCGAATCCCAATCAGTCAGAAATTTGCCCAAAGAAACGGATTTCGTGGGCATGTTGAAATGATCAAACGACGATTCGAAATGGTTCACAGGTGCGTCCGATAACCCGAACACTGTTTTCAGATCGAGCAATCTCGATGAAATTGATGAAAATTGCCACAATTCAAAAATGTCCGACGTGAGCTGATTGAAGGTGAGCAGTGGCGAGGGCCTCGAGAAGAAAGCGTTGTTAATGCGCATAGGCCACTTTGAACGCGTTTCGGCGATTTTCTGAGTCGACAAGATGGACACTGGAATTAATCATATGCTCAATACTCAATACTTATCAACCTTTTAAAATGAAAGATGAATATTACAGCAAAACGCGATCGGTTTAAAATTTCACACCAATATATATGAGTGAATTAAACGTAATGGTCAACACCTCTTTCCTGATAATTTGGTGATCATAACTTATGATCTCGTTCACTAATAATACGGAAAATTACCATTATTTGGACGAGTCGAATTAACACTAGTCGCTAGATGAGGTATTAGAAGGATTGAAATTGCGAATGTCGAATATATGACGGTGATTGTTGCTAATATCGTTACTAAAGATTTCAGTGTGTCGAGTATGAATTTGGGATCGTCACTGAGCACTTTCACTTCATTATAGGTGGCGAAACCTCGTTTGAAGATCGACTGTCTCGCAATCCAACATTCCACTTGGTCCAGTATACGAGTGAATTCGGTGTTTCTTACGTTGATATTCCAGGACTGAAATCATCAAAAGACAGTCCACTCCATCAGATGGCCTACAGCTCCGCACTCTTCGGAAAATGTTCACTTCTCCATTTAAAAAAAAAACTTTTGCACGCGCCACTTCATGGCAGTAATAACCTAATAGTTGCGGTATTCACTCTCGAATTTGGATTCAATTATACAACAGTTTGAGAAGCTATGAAGAAATTTATATACAGTTTACTACTAGCATCTTTTGGGCAATTATATAGTGATGTCATTTAAAGGTCATTGAACCAATTGTAGAAGAAGTACAAGATAATGAAAACGAACCAGTGAATCGAGAAGTTTCAACTCCAGTTCGTTGACGCGTTTCGTGGAACGATCAGACGATGCAGCCCATTCATCGTTGTAAACAAATTCGTCCAATCCACCGTCCTCCAAACAGTTAATTCAATTAAGAAGACATCAAAAATGATATTCTGTTAGGCTCAATGCACACGCTGATCCTATTGCAGAATCACTGAACACAGAATAGTCGGAAACACTTCTCGAAAATATAAGACAACGTTTTCAAAATTAACGATTACTTAGTGCATACAAAACAACAATTATTGTGATAATGATGGGAAGGATTATTGCAAATGATCGCAAAGTTTCGTGGTTTATTATTTTGTTTCAAGGGGTGCACATCCAAGAATGGCGACATAATGGCTGATCTATAAAGCGTACACAAGCCACCATACTAATAATATCATTAAAAATTACGTGAAGATATTTAGAGGCGACAACCAAAGCCGATAGGTACATTTCATTTGGATCAGTTGTTTCGAAGAACTGTTTATCGGCCCTCCTCAAGCGATCCATATAAACCATCGCCACCAAGAACGTACAAGCATCCACACAACTTTCCCGAGCCAGTGATGTTGCAAAGTCCATATCCATATAGTCATAAGGTGCGTATTTATCGAAATAGTCAACCAAAAGTTCTGAAATTCCTCCTTCTTCCTTCTGTTCATGGAGATCCGCATTGATATGAACTTATTCATTCGGTACATAAATCACTGGTACTAAATAAACTCGCGTGCCTCTGATTACGAAATATAGAAATGCTCACTGGTTGTTGCTGTCGAAGTTATCGTTCTGCAGTAATTATTATTTGGATCAAATATCGGTAATTTCGTATTTTGGGTTGGTAAAATCAAAATGGCATTTCGTTCCCATTCGTAGTTGAATATGTTACTTACGATTAGTTAGAATACAGCAAGAAATGTTCGCACGAACGAAATGCNTATCTTCACTTTAATGTTAGCACTATCAGGGTAATAAAAATACAAAAAATAAGGATACGAGTAAGATTACCTGATAACGGTAACGATAACGAGCGCATACGCCTGGAGCCATAACAAAGTGAACGTCGCATCCGTTGTTGTAATTGTTTGTACCCGAGTGATCTTGGTGCCATCCTGAAGTCAATTTGGTAAAAACTTATCAGGTTATGTTGTTGAAATCCACGTTTGTCTGAAAGTTCTCGTGACCACGAGAAAATCAGGAGGATCCTCCTACGAAGATATTTCATGAAATTATTAGAGCATGATAGAGAGAGTCGAATCCCGACAGATGAAGCATGAATTTCAATTCCGGGACAATCCTAGAATTGAAAAGCAATTCTTAAAATATAGAGGATCACATGAGACCGTTCCATAACAAGCAACAGGTAAAAAATAAACAAAATTAGGTCGAAAATTTGAAAAACAACCTCTCCCCAACAAATTTATTTCATCTATCCATATTAAACGGTTGGGGTAAAAGGGGAACACGACAATTGACCAAGCGACAACTGTCAGCACGACATTTGGCCAACCTGTAGTCCATCACACAAACTTCGTTTGGCTTCGCTTTTTGAGCAGTGCGAACGCACG